AGTTAACATTAATTATCAAACTTGCTAGGATCTAGAATCACCCAAGAGACAATCATCTGGCCATGCCTCTGAGAGAGTATATAGGTTGGGCTAGCCTTTGATCACGCTTTTGAGAGTATCTAGGTTGGGTTAGCCTCTGACCATGCTGGTGGGGGAGTGTCTAGGTTGGGTTAGCCTCTGACCGTGCCTGTGAAGGTGTATCTGGATTAGACAAGTGGACAGAATTCTGGGTTCTGGTCCTGCACTGCGTGAACAAGGGAGAGGGAGCTTGCCCCAGTGTCTCTGGTTCTCTGATTTCCAACTATGGACCTAGTGTGAACAGTTGCCTCCAGCCTCTGCACCAGGACTTTCCTGTTGTGGCTGACTGGACCTTGTAACGGTGGGCCCAGATAAACTCTTTGCTTATTTGTCTGGATACAAAGTTGCTTTCTTTTTCTTTTTTGGTCAGGATGCTCTGTCACAGCAATGAAAGAATAACTAGGACAAAGGCCAGCATATCAGGCTTGAGCCAAGCCTTTCTTCTGCCACCCACCGTAATCTGCAGTTTCCAGAGATTCTCAGTACAGGGGTCTCTTAGCCTCCTGGAGCTTCTCATGTGACTCAGGTTTATTTTAGAGTCCTATTCAAGACACCCCCAGAGACACCCTATAATCCCATTTAGAAGAAGCAGGAAGGAAAAAAAGTACTTCTTAGCAGCCTTTTGAGATGCAACTTGACAGCAGCCACCGTTCTCTGACTGCCGAAACAATTCTCCCTTGAGAAGCTAAGTCCCACACTTGAGTATGTCTTCCGTTTTCCTTCTATACTAAGCTCAGCGCTTACATCTCTACTAAGATCTCTTAATTAACTCCAGCTCTGCCTCAACCTGACTTGTCCTGAAATTCTTTTCTGTTCCCAAATCAAGAATTGTACTTCCCCCGAGTCACTGGGGAGAACTCTTGGGTCTCTGACCCGTGCCCCACTGCCCTGGCGGCATCTCTGAGAGTAGAGGGCGCTCTGTAAATAGTTGAAAATGAGTGTGTAAAAACGAACCGAGGACAAATTAATAAAACCATTTTGTATTTTAACTTTTTTCCTATCTCAAAAAAAAAAAAAAAAACAACCCAGCAACAATGATTCTCTATATTAAGAAGCCACAGCTCCTTCCGGACTCACTCATTCTTTTCAAGATAAAATTTGTCACTGTGTCTTTGGGGAAGGAGTTTTGAAGAGTCTAGGCCAGTGCCTGGGTTAGACAGGCTTTTATCAGCATAAAGCTACTCCGGGTAGGTAAGCTTTACAGGGAAAAGATTGATTTTGGCTCCCAGTTTTTTTGGGGGGTCCCAGTTTTGACTGTTGGGTCTGTGGGAAGGCATACCATTAAGGCAGAAGCATGTGGTTAAGAATCACCTACATCAAGACTCAGGGATTAAGGTAGAAAGAGGCCAGAGTCTATAGTGCCCCTAAGAACACCTCTGGGGATCCAAGGTTGCACCTCTTAAGGACTCCAAGACATATTTTGAAGCTTTTGCTACAAAATGACAGCTCTTTGTCTGGACCCAGAGGTAACTGAAAGCAGGAGAAAGACCTTTGCCTTGGTTTCTGTCTTTTCACTTTGTGTCAGATCCCTGCCTACCAATGCGCATGGCCTGGCCTGTCAGTCACTCCAGGTGTGTCTGACAGTGGGGGTCAAAGGAAGCCATCCAGATAGGACCACCAACAACCTCAGCTCAGGTAGAGCTGGATGCTTGACTCTGCCACACAAAGGAGTTTCAGGATGAGCCAGAGTGAAGCAGACTCAGTAAGTTTAATAGGCATTTAGGCAGGGATTTGTACAGGAAGCAGGTAGGTAGTGTACAATCTCAGAATAAAGATGCTGCCTTCTCTAGGGACTCGGGATTTATGCGGCTGTGTGCTTGATCCTGAGGCTAAGTTTCATTCCTCAAAGGATGCAAGTTACGAGATTTAAAGATTAAACAATGCTTAAAATTAAAGATTTTCAAATTAAGGGAACAATATGAGATGATGTGGTTTTTATATATCAATAATTTCTCTTTGTAAGTGCAATTACATTTGTAAAAGAGAAATGTTAGGTCTTAGGGATGAATGAGAGAGGAGGGCTAGTTCAGGGGACCTCAGGGGTACAAAGCTTCTGGGCTTCAGTAAGCACCAGTCGTTCGCTATTTATTTTTATTTTATGTGTGTAGGTGTTTTGCCTGTACATATATCTATGTCCCATGTGCATGCCTGGTGGCCATGGCAAGCAGAAGGAGGCATTAGATGCTCCGGAATTGAAGTTACAAACAGGTGTGGGCCAGTGGTGAGCCACGATGTGGGTGCTGAGAATTGAACCCAGATCCTTTGAAAGAGAGGCCAGTGCTCTTAACCACAGAGCCATCTCTCTACCCTCCTCATTTGTTGTCTTGAATATTCTTGTTTGACATGCTTCTAGGAAAGTACACAGGTCATTTTGGCCTTACCAGTTGTGTTGAAGTTTCTGGGCTCTCACAAGGCAATCTAGATCCCGGAGTGAGGGGCTTTCCCCCTCCCTTTTCGTGTCCTTTTAAGTTTCTCTGTCTTATTATTTGTCCTTACGCTGCTTTGCCTATCTTCCTTCCTGAAAGGATGAGTGGGCAGAGGCCATGTATTGTCTTAAACCTGCAGTCCCTTTGAATTCCAGGAACAGCAGTGCCTCACTCGATGACCACTTCCCAGAAGAAGGCAATGCTGAAGCCTTGGACACAAGTGATCACTTCCTGAGAACCAACTTGTCCCATAAGCAACGAGTCTTTCTTAGATCACCTTCCAGAATCAGCTGAGACAGTGATCAACAGACTGTACCTCAACTTTCTGTATTCCCCGTCCTCTTGTATGCAGATTCTCTCCTCATTAAAACCTAGAGCTCACTGGTAACCTGAAGATGAAGTTGGGGGTCACTGGACTCTTCCCAACGTTCTCTTTCACCGTGGCTGCCCTTTTTAATTGGCACATTGTATAGGCAGCTGAGCTTAGTCTGCTGGGGCTCCTGGAGCTGGGGAGACTGCCCTAAATGTCTGGTGACAGATCCCATCTCCCAGTAGTACCACCCTCGGGATCAAGCCTTTAACACATGGGCATCAGGGGACATTCCACATGAAGCCATGGTAATGCAGAACTGCTTGCTTTGTACACTGTAGTGAGTACATTTTGAAGATGGACACTTCAGTTCTGTTTATAGAAGCATGGAGGCATATAGCTGTGAGCCCTGCTGGGTCAGCTTTCTGTTTTTCAAGAGTCCTTTTTAAGAACAAATTATTTTCAGCAAGTAATTCAGGGAAAACATTTCAAGAGTGTTTTACTGTCAGTTTAACACAAACACACACACACACACACACACACACAGAGCGCATGCGCACGTACATACCTCTCAAGGGTTTCTTGGCAACCTCTGGGATTAATTAACTTTCAGTTTCCAAAAATGTATCAGGCAAAATAATATTATCCCAGTGCTGAGAAATACCTGGTGCAGAGGCTAAAGTCATGGCTGCAGCCATGGCGTGTGTGAACTGCCTGTGTTTCACACAGACCTAGGGGCTACAGGGAATCACCGCAGAGTGATTGACTATGTGGGCTGCATTCAGTTCATGAACGGCTGTCCTGAATTGAGAAAAAGAACATGATCTCAGGCTATCTCAGGCTATCTCAGACTATCTCAGGCTATCTCAGGCTATCTCAGGCTGCCTTGGATCCAGTGCTTTCAGCCTGCCAGTTTGAAATGAAGATGGAGCCTGCAGCTAGCCTAGTGCTCCCACACCACAGACAACATACACAGAGCATGTTACAGGCTCACAGAAGGTCGTCAGGAGACCCCATGGATAACTGAGTGCCGCCACCCAGTCCTCTGGGTGGAGGTGGGGGATGGAGAGAGGCGTGCTGTGGGAAGAGAGAAGGAAGCAGAGTAGAAATGGCTGTTCACATCCAGGGGCTGTCCCCGCCATGGTCTCAGGCCTCTTCCCACGTCTGTTGGATCAGCATTACTGCATTCTTCTTTTTGTGCAACAGTTTGTTTGAAGGAAAGATGCTCATTGTTTTGTTGTTGTTGCTGTTTTGCTTAATTTACTTATGAAGCAGGATCTCATATAGCCCAGGCTGGCCTTGAACTTACTATGTGGCCAAGGCTAGCTTTGAACTTCTGATCCTTTGCCTCTACCTCCCAAGTGCTGTGATTACTCATGCATGCCACCATAACTGATTTATGGAATCAAACACAGGACGTTCTGGATGTTAGGAAAGCACTCTGCCAACATCCCCAGCCCACGGCAGAAGGATCCGAGGTTAAAAATACCTTACGTACGAGTCGTTCGATTAGGCTCAGGTCCTTGGAGTAGTGGGAACTGTGGCTCCATCAATGGTGAAGGACACCTCACCGGAAAGTAGGAGAGTCCAGTGGTTAGGCAGGGGACTGAGTGTATGTGAGGACGCCTTGTTATTTGGAAGTACAATGGCAGCACTGCTTCCAGGTCTCCTTAACTATACTGCTGAGACCATAGGGTGACAAACCCCGGGGAAGGGATCACCTTAAGGGGCCCAGAAGTCCTGTTTTGGTTTGCGTCAGACAAAGCATCTGCTTACCTGCTCTCTGGGTCAGGTTTCTGGGTAAAGTTTCCTTTGAAGTTAGAGATCTATGATTTCTAGAAAGTTTGGAAACCACTGAGATATCTGGGGTTTTGTATGTGAGGAGGAGGTTTTCTGGGGGCCACACGGGATGGTGAAAAGAGAAGGGCGGTGCAGTGGTCAGCTCCACACCTGGCTGACGGTGATGCTGTGGGGAAAAAACTCTGTGAACAGACCAGCTTGAACAAAGCACAGGGGTGCACACCACAGGAGCCCCCAGGCTGCCCCGGGGTGTCCAGAGGCTGTATTTGGGGTCTTTTACTCTCTGCTCTGTAACTAATACGACGGTCCAGCTTAGGTACCGAGGTGGAGACTGAGAGGTTTCTGACAGATGACTTTGACACCTTCTTGTTCATTTTCCTTTACAGTGTACTTACATCTCAATTGACCAAGTTCCCAGGACCCACGCTATCGTGATAAGCAGACCTGCCTGGCTCTGGGGGGCAGAAATGGGAGCCAATGAACATGGGGTATGCATAGCCAACGAAGCCATCAATGCCAGGGAACCAGCCGCTGAGACAGAAGCCTTACTGGGGATGGATCTGGTCAGGTACATCTGGAAAAACTGCCAATTGGGAGTGGGAATTAATGTTTTTCTGTATTTCTTATATTGTAAGAAGCTGTATTTAATGGAATTCTAAGACGATGGGGAAAATAGAATAGATGGCAAAGGAATATTATTTGTCAATAAAACATAGTTAAATACTGCTGTGTGTTACGAATAGGATCTTGAAAACTTGATAAACACTAAGTGAAAGCCATCAGGTACAAAGGCCACCTGCGTGAGTCATAGAAGTTATAGAGGCAGGAAGTAGATGAATGGTGCTCTGGGGTTGGGATGGGGTAGGAGGGTGTCTTTGGGGATAATGAAGATGTTTTAAACTTAGGTTGTGGTTAGGTAGTGGTTATACAACTTTTTATATAAACTGTTTTAGTAGAAACCCTGAAATTAAAGAATAATATCTTTAAAACATGTCTTTAAAATTTGTCATTTACAAGCTTATGTTTTGAACCTTTATAAAGCATATTTTAAATACAATTCTATTGTGCTAGAAACTATAATAACATACAAGAAAACAATAAATATAATGGGTAAAATATTAAAAGAACAAAGAACTCAGATGGAACACTCCCTCTTCTGTCCGCCTCTTGGTGGTCTTTCTTGCTTTCCCCCTGTTTTCAAACACATGGGCCAGAAGAAGCCAGATTTGGCAGCTGGGGGCTGTTCTTGGTCTCTGGTCACCCCTGTGACACAAGTACAGGGGAGTGGCCCTGGCACGTGACGGTGATGGGAGGCTGAGTGCTGAGAGAATGAAGAGAACAGAGTGTGGGAGAGAACACGACTCCTCTGAAAGGGAATCACAATGTCACTAAATGAAGATGGGACCGGAGGGCATGGCTTTCAGAGGGGAGTGGATGGACACACCAAGTAATGGTAGTTCTCTGTGCTAAGTCTCCTCGGCTTCTGTCAATATGAAGCCTATATTGGACAGCTTTAGAACTTCCTTTCTTTCTTTTTTTCCTTTTTTCTTTTTGTTTGTTTTTCGAGACAGGGTTTCTCTGTGTAGCCCTGGCTGTCCTGGAACTCACTCTATAGACCAGGCTGGCCTCGAACTCAGAAATCTGCCTGCCTCTGCCTCCCAAGTGCTGGGATTTAGAACTTCCTTTCTAAAGCTAATTTTCTAAGAAAAAAATTTGAGGTTTGGACAATTACATTTCTAGAGGAAATTGCTCATTTACCCAGAAGCCCCTTATGAACCATGACTTTTGCCAGCCCCGAGTAGATCTGTTAGGGACAGCCCTTGGGAAGTGTGTCTGGGTCATTTTCTTTTCTTTTGTCTTTTTTTTCTCCTCTTTCCCTCCCTCCCTTCCTCTGAGACAATGTTTTACTTTGTAACCCATGCCTACCAAGCCCAGTACTGATGATCCTCCTGTCTCAGCCTTCTGAGTGCTGATTTGTTAGTCTGGGTAAAATAAGAACTGGAAAAAAAAACCAAAGGCAGAAAAAATTTTATATGTTCACCTGTTTTTCTCTCCAAAAAACAAAAGAAAATAAATAAAACAAAACAAAAAAAAACAAAAAAACATGTAGAAACCAAGTTTTGGGTTTGTTTTTTGCAGTTCCCTTAGTGTGTTTTTCTTTTAAATAAACTTCTACATTTAGTAGAATTCCCCAAAATGAAGAATCAGCAACAAAAATCATCCCTAAGGCCTTCATCTATGGCTTTGTAATAAATAGTTTTTCAGTCTCGGACCTAGGGAGTTGGCAGAAATCCTAATCCTAAAAAGTTAGATTTGAGTGTTGGCGGAGAGCACTTTTCCTTGCAGAGTGCGCCTCATCATCCGGAGATTCTCCACCCTGTGAGCAGTGTGACCTGCTCAGTCTCAGTGTGCTCTTCACTCTCTGCCATGAAAAAGCTCACGGCTGCAAAGAGACTGCAGTCTGCTTACAGGGAGAGGATAACAAACTGAACAGCACAGAGTCTTTTAAAAAAAAATCAAACCAAGAGGAACAAAATTATTTTTTTAAACTTTATTATAAAAAGCTTCACAAATAAATAAATAAATAAATAATGTCACCCACACAATTTAATCAGACAAAAGATCTATACAACTTAATGAACTTATATACCAGTGGTTCTGGACTTTTCTAATGCTGAGACCCTTTGATACAGTTCCTCATGCTGTGGTGGCCCTCAGCCATAAAATTATTTTTGTTGCTACTTCATAACTGTAATGTTGCTATTGTTATAAATTGTGATGTAGTATCTGATATTCAGGATATCTGAAAGGGTTGTTTGACCCCAAAGGGATCGAGAGCCACAGGTTGAGAACCGCTGTTACATTGTTAGGTGTAAGTTACGAATGAGGATATCAACCTGTTTTATTTTAGTTATGATTTTGCCATGAATTATTTTTGGTTTTTGTGGTGGATAAGTACATAAGATATAACCAATACTCCAAGTGTAAAATTTAATGGGAAGGGACACAGCATCCATGTGAATGTCAATTTTAACTGAACAGCACTAAGGGCGACTGAAGGTGACAGAGAGAGGAAGCAGGGAAATCTGGGATATGATCACAGAAGTGGTACAAAATTCCAGAGCTAGCCTTCCACAGACGCTGCAGGGTGTGAATTTCAGAGCTAGCCCTCCATAGACACTGTAGGGTATGAAGTCCAGAGCTAGCAGCATTCCATAGACCCCTGCCCTGGGGCACTTGGCATGGTCAGGGGAGAGAGATGTGCTCCAGGTGGGCCCACAGGACTGAAGGGTAGGGACAGAGAGGATGTGTTTGGAGGATGATGATTGCTCTGAGAGTTATCAATGTCTGGGATAATAACAAATGCAGAAGTAGATAATGGCTGACCAGAAGCCATTTAAGTTGACACCTCCCCTGGCTTAAACACAGCCATTGTAATAAGTATAGGATGACAAATCCCGTGATGCTGGCTACTTCTTGGAGGGGCACACAGTCTGTACCTAGAGTAGACTGCTAAGTTCAGGGTCAAGGTCAAAGTCTGGTCCCAGCTTTAAAATGGCTAAACCTAATCTTTCATAGCAAGCAAGTCCTATGAGTGTCTCCTGAGCCCCAATGTTAACTGGGGAGCTGTGGATACTGTAGCTCGAAACCACAGCGCTGTGAGTGGCAAGGTTCTGGGGCAGCAGTTTTCGAAGCAAGGCTCCACAGGAACACTGCCCAGGAGCCTGCTAGGAGGGCAAGTTCACCCCCTACAACACACAAACACACACACACACACACACACACACACACACACACACACACTCTGTACATGGGGTTGGCCCACAGTCTACGTCAGCAAGGCAGATAGAGCATAGGGCAGAGAATACACTGCTGCACAGCTGGAGCTCGCCTTCCTCATGGTGCTCTGTCTCTTCCAGCTGTTACTGTTAGCAGCATCATTTCTTGCGCTGTCCTTGTTTGTCCTCTGTGCTTGGCTGCCAGCTTCCTGGGCAGCTCCTGGAAGAGCAGGCTATTTATATTTCACATGCTACTTCAAGTGTCCATGAGACTGCGGCTGGTTATTCAAAGAATATAGCTGTTCCCCGTCTGCATCCTCTGGTCCTTTATACCTCTCATCCACACGTCAGCTCCAAGAGACATAACTGAGTGACGGCCTCAGTTTAATAGGCACCGTCTTCAGGGTAAAGGTATAATTTGCATGTGCTTCTTAGAGGTGTGTAGGAATGGAAGCATTAAGCAACACTTGTTATAATTCATTCTTAGTGGTAAAAGCCAAGCTTTATCTGCTCCCTTGCCTCTCCTCCCTCCCTCCCTCTCTCCCTCCCTCCTTCCTTCTTTCCTTCCTTCCTTCCTTCCTTCCTTCCTTCCTTCCTGTATCTCTGAATAGTCCTCCCCCCAGCACCCCCAACACCAAGAGGCATATAAACACACACACACACACACACACACACACACACACACACACACACGTTTTGCTTCTTAGTGACTTTGGATCCAAATACCAAGCAGCTGGCAGGAGCTAACATTAAAATGGGGGGGGGTCATCAAGGTGTCTCTTACACCTAGACTCCATTAAATCTAAGGTCTATTTGTCCCGATGAAGCCTCTTGGCCTCCATCATGATGAGACGCAGGAGGCATTTGGATCCCATTAGTTAGACAGAGTATGCTGGGAATACCTAACAATCAGCTAGAAGTGGGGTTGGGGTGTCAGCCCTAAATTGTGGCTTTCCCAACACCTGAGGTGTAAAGATGTGAGGATTAGCAGCTAGCTCAAAATCCCCCAGGTTTAACCTCTGTTCTCCGAGTAGGTGGGATGCCAGCTGGCTCCGGAGAGCGCTGCTTTCTGGTCATGTGCTGTATCTGACCCTTACACGCAGGTTTCATCCTCTTCTTCTTCTGCAGACTCCCCCGCCCTTCATTTCATGTGTCTGTGTGTGCAGTGTGCGCGTGTGTGTGGAAGCCCAAGGTCCGAAATCTTCCTACATCACATGGCTCCCTCATTCTTTTAGGGAGGGTCTCTCAACAAGATCCAGAGCTTTCCGGCAGAGCTAGCCTTACCAGCCAGCTTGCTCTGGGTGTTCCTCTGTCTTTGAATTCCCAGGGAGGTGAAGTCATAGGTGAGCACCCAGCATTACATAGTATCCGAACTCTGGTCCTCTGAGCCATCGTCCTGCTGACTGACTTTTCCTACTTCTAACTGAGTTTGGCATTGGCACTAAACTGGGCCAGTCTCATTGTCTCAGAGCATCTTGTCATTCTAAACACAACCCGCCAGCTGCTCCTCGAGTCGGAAATCTTAGAAGGTCTTGAAAGAAAGTTGAGGAAAAGTTAGAAAGGTGTGTGGTTTTTGAATAGGTTCTTAGCAAACGTGGGAGCTCACAGGTGATGGGAAAGAGGGAACACCGGTACAATTAAAGTCGTTATTTCCCTAACAGTCTTGGGAAACTGACTTTATATGTGCTATTTCATTTAACACTCATAACGGAGCCAAAGAGCTAGGTTTTCTAGTTCCTTATGGTAGATGAGCAAACCAGAAATTAGGGAAGTTAAGTGGCTTGCCCATCACACCAGGGCTATGTGGTGGCTGATCTCAGAATACCAGGGTACCACTTCTCTCCAGATTAGATCAAGTTTTATTTCTTCCAGTGAGACAGAACACTGAGATGAAAAGGACTCAAAAGGTCTCAAACACCCTTTCCCCTGTCAGAAGGCGAAATGACAGCAGATTCCGTTTTTAGACAGAGTTGGCGTTTGCTCCTCATGCGGGAACCCAGGCAGCCTTCACTCTGGAGAGCAGAAAGCTCCCAGCAGGCAAGGGTGGAGCACTGGCTTTTACAGAGCAGAGATGGAAAAAGAGAATAACATGGGGAATTAAAAAGAAACCCATTAGCGTTAGGTGACTCCAGGTTACTTTTCTGTAAGGGTTACAGCTACAGGGACGTCCTTGTGCTGACTCAGGCAGACTAGAGTCCGTTGCTCGTCAAAGAGGGGTAAGAGTGGAATATCCCTGTCCTCAAAAGCTCCAGTCATGGAATCTTTAGCATATGCAACTCTGGTTTGGTCTGGACTGGCCAGCTGAGTCCTGTCACAGGAGCTCAATACAAAACAGTGACCTTCTGTAAATTTGAAAGTTCAAGTCCACACTGCACATAACAACTACTTACTACTTTTTTATAATCCATGTGGAATGCTGTAGCAAAGTCATAACAGCCTGGGAGGTTTAAACGACAGATAGTTTGTCTTTCAGTTCTAGGGGCTTGGAAGCTTGAGATCACAGTGCCAACAGGTCCCATCTGAGGTACAGAAGGCCAGAGCACAGAGAGGGCAACCTTTGTGTCTCTTTGCTAAGGACCCTGATCTCGACACAGACTCCACCCTCATGGCCTAACCACTTTCCAAAGTTCTAATTGCCCCATACAGGAGAGGTGGCTTCGGTACTTGAAGATGGGCACAAACTTTCTGTCCTTAGCATCATCCTGAGTCCAGCCCTTGCTAAAGGCTGAGAATCTTTTAAATGTCCAAAAGACTACAAACCAGAGGGACCGTGAGGATGTGTTGGTAGGAAGGGGGAGGGTAATTTGCAAAGAGCCCTCTGAGAACAGAGTTCTCTAGCGGTGGTCTAGCAATTAGTTTCGTTACTTGCACCATAATAGCAGTTGTTTGCCAAACTCAATCTAGTTTGGGGGTGTAGAGGGGAGCCCCTTCTAATCTACAGAATCATAGATACAGCAAAGCTCAGGGAGCAGATTTCTAAACCAAAGTGTGGGTGCTGTCTGAGATGGTCTTTCAGGCCATGAACCTCATTTCTCTCCTCTCACAAAACCAAGAATCGAATTCAGGAGCATCTAACTCTCAGAGTCCGAACAACTTGGTCAAAGCACTTTGGAAGGATGTAGGTGTTTGAATGAGGCTCGCTTAGGTCCTTCCAACCTGTCTCTGTCTTGGTCTTTATTAGGCTAAGGTACAGCCACTAAGTCAACTTAGGCTTGGGTCAGAAACATGTTCATTTCATTTAGAAAATGTGCACCAAACCTATCTAGGAGGTAAGAACAGGTGAGGGTGGCTCGAGAACATGCCTTAGGATGCCGGGTGGTCCCTCCTGTCCAGTGATTTGGATTCATGTGTACCTCTTGAACTCACACTTTGAAGCCCAGCTACCCTATTTGTAAATTCCGTGGCTCAGGATTCTCTCTTATTACTCTTTGAAGGCTCCACGTGGTAAATTATGGCTCTGTAATCAAGTCTTCCTAAATAAGCTTAAAAGGAGCCCCGTCAAGTGAATTGGTATACGATGCTCTAACCATGAACATAAGCCAATTACAGAGCTCATTCTCCAGCTTGCAGTTGTATTATCCTTTCTTCTCCATGACAGCACAGTGGGGCATGCCTTAAGACACATTCAGTTGGGAGAGTTTAAATAGTCATTACTTCTCAAGTCATGAATTTATCAGGGACAGGCTATGTCTCAACCTTAGTAGCTTGTCACTCGCTCTATGATGTGAGTGCCTATAGTCAGAGTAACAGTCCAACTGAAAGGATGAATAAACGAATGACATGCACCTTATGTGCCATCTTCTGTCACCTCAGCTTGAGGAGGTGGTAGTGTGTGCTTATCGCCAGTATGAGGACAAACAGCCATTAAAGGTCACATGACTAAGGTCGTATTGCCGTGGAGTAGCATGACAGGAGCTGGAGCCAGGTCCCGTGCTCTCTGAGTTTCTGGGCCACAGCGTTCTACCTGCTGAAGGTGATTGGTTACTAGTGTGGCTCCACCATTAGGGGTGTGTGTTTTCACGTTTATTATCTTGTAGCACCCTGGCGACTTGGACACTTTTTACAGAAGGTGTAGAGCTGAAGTTCATATCTATTATGCAAGCTGTCCAAGGTCACACAGACGGAAGTGTCTGTACTCTCCTTGACAGGTTTATTCACTGATAGAGCTGGGGAAAGAAGATGTCTAGCTCACTTTAGACGGAGTCTGTGTCCTTTTGATAGCTGATGCTGTAAAGAACATCAGCTGATACAGCCTGATGTATAGGAGGGGGGTGCGAAGAAAAAGAACCAGTCATAGATAATCTGTTCTTAGTGAGATCTCTGAGCAAATTATGTGCCCAGAGGACAACGGCTGGCAGCTGAACACTTAGAACCAGTTTTCTCAGTCTACTATAAGATGCTGTAACAAGACACCTTAAATGGGATCGTTATAAACCACAGAGATGTATGGGCACAGTTTTTGAAACAGGGAAGTCCAAGATCAAGGTACCAGTATTTAATGTCTAATGTGGATGCATTCTGATTCATACACGGCACCTGTTTACCGTGTCCTCCAATGGTGGCTCTCCGAGGAGGCCTTTTTTATAAAGGACACTATTGGCACTAATGAGGGTGCCAATCCCATGACTCCATCATCTCCCGGAAGACCTACTGCCTAATACCATCTTATTGGTGCTAGGTTTTCAACATGAACTTTGAAGAGACACAAATAAGCTATAATAGTACCCAAAATACCCACTGTAGAATAACCGTTGATCCAAGCTAGGGAGATTTCCTTCTTCTTAGGCAAGTAGTCAGGAGGGAGCTGGACAGTTATACGGGACATATGATCAGCCAAGAGCAAGAAGGGGCTCACCTTCCAGTACAGAGAATGCAGCCACTGGTCCCTGATATTTCTATTCTTATGAAAGGCAATCAAATCTAAAGACAGTAGAACACGTTTCCGCAATTTTTTATTGGATGCGTCAGAGAGGCGTTCTGAGTTAAAGTACTATCAAGAAGTTCATATATTGGTCTGAATATTTAACATGTTTGTACATATTGGCATGTTTCCCAACTTAACCTTGTCCCAGCCTTCCCTTGTTATGATAACGATCACGTGGCCTGAAATGACAGAGGTATACTTATGATTTCCTTCAGGCTTGGTTTAGAACGAGGGACAACAGCTAAAGAAGCCTTGGACATCATTGTTTCCTTATTGGATGAGCACGGACAAGGTGGAAATTACTATGAAGACGCACACTCCTGCCATAGCTTCCAGAGTGCATATCTGCTGGTGGATCGCGACGAAGCCTGGGTGCTGGAGACCGTAGGGAAGTATTGGGCTGCTGAGAGGATCACAGGTGAGGAGGTACAGGATAAAGAGTTTTGATGATAGGACACGCTGAGGTGGTGTTGGTCAGACATGCCAGGCTGGCCCGGAGGAGCGGTGCTGCCGTGCAGCATCTTCTGGGCATCCCTCTTCGGGCTTAGGCATGCCTTTCTCTTCCAGGTACCTGCTTCTAGATATGTATCTGGAGTCTCCCGGAGGTATGCCAAGACTCAGAAAGTACACATCTAATCTTTTTACACTTCCTGTTTGCTTTTTGGACATATCTATCGATAAACCATGACTACGGGTTAGGCAAGAGAATGAGGAGTCTTGGATCACAAGAAGTCAACAAATCCCTTATCATTCCCGGCTCCATAGCTTCTTAAGCTTAGACTTGTCCTTTAAAATAGAAACTTGAGTCTGTGAGGACTATTGAGTACCACTGGATGCCAGACAGGTCACATGTCCAAGACTCCATCCCTAGAAGGACATCATGAACTTGGCCATCTACATGAGAAGTGCCCCTCTGGTTCAAGCTGTTTCTTGTTTCTGGTTCAATGCCGAGACAATGTACGACCACTCCAGTGTTCTCCCTCAGATTCCCAATGAGATAGAGTCCTAGAATTGGTTAAAGGGCTTCCAAAAGTCCTAGACAACTCCAAAGAAAACTGTTCATTGGTGGTACCCTTGCACTCCTTGTGACAAGATGATAAATCCACACCCTGTCCATTAACGTTCTCCTTTACCAAGTTCCAGGCATCTCCGGCTAGTAGGTCAACACATTGACCTCTTCTTGAGCCTCTACACCACTGCATACTTTTGTTCAGCTGAGTTTATTATGAAGTCTTTGTTAGTCAATTATGAAAGATATTAGGTATGCAATCTGCTTGCTACCCCAGTTTTTAGAAAATCAGAACCAAATCTGACCGTAGCCAGATCTTGAGAGTCACTGGGAGTCAAACCTGGTTTTGTGCACAGGTTCCAGTGATGGAGGCTTCCCCGTGATTAGCACATGTTCCATGCACAAAGTTACCTGCTGACAAGAGGTAGACCAGTTCTCTATGTGCGTGAAGACTGTGTCCTCTTATTCTCACACGATGTGGAACGGCCTAGCAGAGCCATCAGGGAGTTTTCCTACCTCCACGTGCCCAGCTCATCTCTCAGGGCCTGTGCATGATCCCTGGTCTTAGAGCATTTGCAGAACAAAAGGTTCCCCCCTCCCCACCCCCAGACCTCCAGCTCCCCTTCCCCTACAGGAACTTAAAACTGCTTTACACAAACCTCCCTAGTATAAAGTGATGCTATCAAATGGCTCTCTCAGGAAAGCAGATGGGCTGTGCTTCAAAGCAGCCCAGTTGCTTTTAAGTAGAATCTAAGACTTTTTGATCTGTAACTGCATTCAGAAGCAGGGCTTCCTTCAAAGTATCGCTCATAAAGGTCCATCTCTACAAAATGAGTGTTGTTTTTCAAAAAAAGTCACCTCCCCATCTGTTTCATGTTCTTTGACTCCAGCAGCACTAGATCTATGGCAGTGGGGATTATTGAACTCTGTCCTCTTAGTTCTGATTCCTAAAAAAACAAGTGTCTACTACAAACCAACCCTCTAGGAAAATAACCTCTGTGGAGTACTCAAGAACATTTCTTTCTTTGAGTAGCTTAGTATGAATGGTCTCAATATCACTTTTTTGGGGGGGATCATAACTGTTTTCTGTTGCTTAATTAGAATTTTACACTAGTGATGCCCTTTGGGGGAAAAAAAAGAATGATCAATGACCAGAGCCTCTCCGTCAGGAGCATGTAATTTGGAGGTATAAATCATCAAAGCAAGGCATCCTGGGAAACCAGTCCAGCAGATCTGGCTTCAAGGCACCCGGATTCAGGCTGTAAGGGTTCTACTGTTGTGGGATTCAGGCAGATAGAGCTCTAAGGTAGCCTCTTCTTTCTTTCTTACTTCATTCTCCAAGAATTTGGAAGCTCAACATCCTCCTTGGGAGCAGCTTCTGTGGACAATCCTTTTGAGTTAGCAATGGTAACCTAGCCTCTGCAGTCTAGACAGCACCTTGAACTTTATGGACCAAGTCACCCTTCATCTGTCTGGGGGTGGGGATGGGGGTGGCATAAGTGTTCCTCTAGGTAGGAGAGAGTGCTACTGGGGAGGAGGAGCCTGTGAATGTTATGGAGTATCCGTGTAGAGGAGTCAGACATAGATCCCGAGTCTCCTGAGAAGTCCTTTCAAAGACCTGTTCAATTTCCCCATGACCATGCATGCTTGGAGTTTATCTAGTCAGAATTAAGGGCCTTGAGTGTTTCATTTTGTTTGTGAACTTAAGATCAGTAAATCTGACATCCATCTAAGCTGTAATCATGTCTGATGGAGACAGGCTGAACCTGTCTCCTGGCGTGAGGAGCAAGGATTTTGTGTTTCTCTCTTCAGAAACGGAACTGATTCCTCCCTGTAGTCTTGGGTCCCTTCCACTAACCACACATCGAACTCTTTGCAGAGGGAGTGAGGAGCATTTGCAATCATCTTTCACTCACTACTAAGATGGATGAAGAACACCCAGAACTCAGGACTTATGCTCAGAGTCAAGGCTGGTGGACGGGAGAGGATGAATTCAATTTTGCCCAGGTTTTTTCTCCAGCTGATGACCATTTGGACTGCTGTGCAGGCAAAGACAGCTTAGAAAAGCAAGAAGGTAAGTTAACGTGCTTCGAACATTGGAGGGTGGGCAAACAGGCAGGGTAGAGACTAAGCTTTGTGTGTTAAACACAAACGTGTACCTCACGTTCCTGGTGTGTTTACATGCAGCTTCTACATCTTGTAGGAACCTGTAAGGGCTTCTATTTCTACTGATGCTGAGCACTGCTGTTATAATGTGATCCTCTGTGATACTGGAGTCTTCCCTATAACTCCAGAAACTCAGAAGAACCCCTCTTGTCCTACTAAGCCTACACGACAAGCCTTCTACTGTTTTGAGATGCTCTCATTGTGTCTGAGTATTACTTTCTTCCATGAACTTCTGCACTGGAGTGTTGAACTGAGTTCTCTTTTTTCGTGGCATACAGCAATGCCACACAATACTAAATTCTGATTAAGACTCCATACTTAGGTAAATGTACTGAACAAATTGCTCCTTGTTTATGCGCATGAATGGATAACACCCCCCCCCAGCCAATAATGGTCACATTTCTATTTGCTAGTTCTACATATGTATCTGTCAATCAAACCTGATCATTTAGAATGAATGGCTGCAAGGTATATCATCTAGCAGCGGCTTCTTTTGTAAACAAAGTTTTATTGGAAAATAGCCATATTATGCCAGTTTTCTTATCACTGTAATACAATTCCTAAGATAAAAATACTTATGAGAAGGAAAAGTTTACTTTGAGTTATAGATTCAGAAATTTTTGAATCAGTTTCTCTTGTTGCTTTTGGGTCTGAAATGGGAACGGGTATCGTGGTAGCTGAAGCATGTTGAGAAAGCCCCTTACCTCACGATGGCCAGGAAGCACTGGGGGTAGGGCAGAGTCCCAATATCTCCTCAAGGCCACACCCTCAATGAGCCCATCTTCCTTATATTATTAGGCCCGCCACAATAGTATCATAGCCTGAGGACTAAGCGTTCAGCATGGCCTTTGGAGGACATGCCAGGGTCAAACCACAGCACAAACCAGTGTTTCATTGTGAACTGCGCATGGCCACCAACGGCAAAGCCGAGAAGTTGCCGTGCGGAGAGCGTAGTGGAGAACACACGGTCCAAGGCTTAGAATATCTTCTACCTGGTTCTTTAAGAAAATGTTTTCTGACCCTTGATATAGAATAATGCTTTGGGACTTTCGCCTATAGCAAAACCAAATAAACAAAACAACAAACAACCAAAAAATAAAACCTCAAACAAACAAACAAACAAACTCAAAATCTTGTTATATAGACAGGCGTAGAAGTATTCATTTTTAAGTGGGAACTTCATGAAAAAGTTACAAAAGTTTTAAGCCGAAACAAAACGAGTGATGCTTAAAACATCAACCCTAAATCGGCACTGGTTAGCGGGAAGCAGAAGGTGGAGGAGCATGTTGTAACTCCAGGGGGCGCCACCTGCACAGTCCAGACTGGGAAACTGCGTGGGATGGGGGCGGAAGGTAGCAGGGGCAAAACAAAGAGAATAAAAGGCAGAGATATTGTCAACGTGTTAGAGGTGGATTCAATATGATAGAAACTTGTGAGACCGGAAGTTGGACATGGGATAGGTGAAGAAATAAAAAAAAACATGCTAATATTTTTGTGTAAAATGTGAACAGAGGTTTACAGAGAGGCTGTGCATCAGAGTGAAGAGTCCTCTCCCTGTTTGATTCCGTCTTTGTGCACACAGACTGAGAGTAGGGTTGCGAGTGTTTTTGGTACCTCAGGGACCGGTTTTGAGAAAGAAGTGAATCTATTGCAGGTTCCAATCTGAAACCTGGACTCCACCCGTGGTTGGCCAGCTGCTTCTGTACACAGTACCATGTTTTCTTTATTTTTGTTTTGGTTTGAGAAAGATTTCCCTATAGCTCAGGTTGGCCTGGAACTAATGCTGTAGCCCAGGATGGCCTCGGATTAGTGTTCCCCCTGCTTCAGCCTCCTGAATGAAGGGATTATAGGCATGATTGAGCACATTCAGCTGAAAGCCTGTTTTTATAGAATCATAACCAGAGGAGAACCTGTCAGAATGGGATTGTGTGCAGTCAAGGACATAATCCACTCATCTGAATTTAGAATGAGGAGTCCTGAAGACTGAGTACTCTAAGTGCTGCTGCAGTGTGGTGTGGTTCACACTGCAGAGTGGCCCTTCTCCAGACAGTACACTTACCCTGAAAGGCAAGAAGGCATGAAGGCAAGAGTGTGGAGCATACAGGCTCTGCACGGTTTTGTGTTTGTGTCTGTTCAGTCATTGTTCGAGCTGATGTAGAGGTAACATTGTTACAAAGAGATCCTCAACGAATATGGCTTAAAGGAAACAGAAGCTATTTCTTTCGCATATCAGCATCTGTGTGGAAAGAGAGTTCAGGGCTGGGGACTTTTCTGCTCAAAGTTGGGCTGCAGTTGGTAAACCATGTGTTAGCCTCTCCCAGACAGCAGGAAGTCAGAAGGAAAACCTGAGGAACAGAACACAGATGTCCAGAGATGTGCATACGTTATTTCTGCTCATCTCCCATTGGCCAGAGTTTATCAAGTGGCCAAACCTAGTCATCATGGCAACTGGGAATTACATTCAGTAGTTGAAAAGGTATGTTCTCAGATATGATTTCAGGGGATTTATTAGTAAAAGTGGCAAAAAAGTGAATCAGGTTTAATTGGCAGTCTTCACAGTTATATACGGTCATATTTATTTCCTCTCTCTCTCTCTCTCTCTCTCTCTCTCTCTCTCTCTCTCTCTCTCAGAAAGCATCACGGTGCAGACGATGATTAACATCTTACGAGATAAAGCCAGTGGAGTTTGCATAGATTCTGAGTCTTTCCTCACCACAGCCAGTATAGTGTCTGTCCTGCCTCAGAACAGAAGTTCACCGTGCATCCACTACTTCACCGGGACCCCAGATCCTTCCAGGTTAGTCTAAAACATGTCATACAGGCAGGAAGCACGTGCTCCTGACCATGTCCTTCCCTTGGATACTTCAGTGACATTTCTCAAGTCTTAGCCTAGGGTGCTTGGCTGAAACAACATAATGTTCATTCCAAGAACAGAACCCAGTTATTATTGCTAAGTATAGATCATGGGCCAAGTGTTGTGCTATGGATGAAGATACAAAGATGCATAAAACACAGTAAGAGGCAGATACAGGGATACCCAAAGTTTACAAAGAGTCAGTTCTTGTCAGTTACTCGGTAAAATGGTCCAGGGATGATACAGATGGAAGCAACTGCCACTTTTTTTTTGACATTGTGTTTGAGGACTTGTGTTTTGCCCACCCACTTCAGCAGGGAGGCAGTACTGCACAGTGCTGTAGCACATCCTTTAGGAGGGACAGCCAGGTTTGGACCCTCTCTCTACCACCTAGCAGTTGCATAAATACTTTGCCTCATTATTTAACAATACAAAGCCCCTGCCTTTGTATTGTTGAGAAGACAAAATGAGACAAACTAATAATTCACAGTAGGCTTAGGAATTATTTATAAAGAACATCTTTTTGTGCCAGGCAGACAGTGGCCCTTCTCCATGGCAGCATTCAGGCATGCAGTCACAGGTCATGTCCCTTAGAACCAACCAGCCAGAGGTTCCTAAACCTGCACACATGAGGACAGTCTACAAAAAAATACAGATGCCTTGACCCAAACCTACCTCAACAGAATGTTGGAGGTGAACCCCAGAACCTGTCATCCTGGGAAAACTTCCAGGCAACTCTCTAGTGTTTTCAGGTTAGTGGAAAGCACTGTTTGAATGACAGTTGTTAAGCCGCTAGATTTGCTCCTGAAGGACCCACTGCTATTAATTCCCAGTCCTTTTTGCAGCTGAAATGTTTTCCCCCTACACTGTCAGGAATATGAAGTAATGGCTCCTTCCTCCTTTCCTAGAGACCGTTTCAGACGACTGAAGCTCCTTTTTGACCATTTAGCTTTATTTTTAAATTATTATCAGCACCAAGAGATACTTCTGACGATACACAGTATAAGTAGTTCTTTTACATCCCATTGACAAACTGCCGGGCACTTACTACATATATTACTATTAGTATATTACGTATACTAACATTGTGCCTGCTGAGTAAGTAGGGAAGGTGTGTATACATGGAAAAGGTTGGTATAGATGAGGCGCTGAGGGCCAGAACCTCACAGGGAAAGAAACTAAGCCCTGGACACAGTGGAATGGTGGGATTCAGTAGGCACGAAAGCCAAAACAACATACTAGTTAGGCATGGCCTTTCTTTCCCTCCCCTCTCTTCCTTTATCTCCCTTTTGCTTCCCATGTCTTTCCCTCTCCCCTCCCCTCCCTCCCTTCCCTCCCTCCCTTCTTTTCCCTTCCCTCCCTTTCTCTCCCTCCTCCTCTTGCCCCATCCCTTCCCTCTCATTGTCTTCCCTTCCCTCCTCTCTTCTTTCCTAACCCTCCTCTTCCCTTTCCTCTCCATCAGTCTCCTACATCACAGGCCTGAAGCACGGGAACTGGCTTAGCATGCAGCTTCCTGTATATGAGGCTGGCGGTTAGGTTTCTGTCAATCCCTCCCCAACCTCCTACTCACCAAGCTCAGCCGTCCTCATGGTCCTGCTGCTGGTCCTCCCTGGTGTCCTTCACTTTGCAGTATTCCTGGCACCCTCTCTGGATGGTCCTCTTACTCCATCTGCTCAGTCTTGACTTTTCTCTCCACCTTCCTCCATGCCTTGGCCTAGCACCTCTTTGCATCTAGAGCCCCTCCTATAGGCTAAGGCTTGCCTCCCAAGGGCTCTGGGGGCCTACAGGAGCAGCAAGAGTTCTGCTCCACGGTCTGGAGTGTCCTGCCAAGGTGGACAGACATGACTCTTTAAGGAAACCAGAGTTTTTTCAAGTAGTGGGTCTGACTGGACCATGCTCCATTGCCTTGTCTGGAAGTCCCACTCTGTGAGACTTATCCTCACCAGAACACTCAGAGAAAGGAATACAATTGCCAAGGTAGAAACAGGCTGTTTAATCCAATTATAGAAATGAATTGTGAAATTGCCTTCTGGTACTAAATGGAAGCTTGAAAGTAGTTTTAAAAGAAAATTATTCACGGTTAAATTAATTGGAAAGACCTTGTAGAAGATTACAGTCCTTTGAGAAGACGGTTCAGTTTCGTCTTGCGTGGTGAAATGGGCTCTCTGTGACTCAGGGCTGCAGTTAGCTCTCATTCAGTGCTTCTCTGTAATTGGGCATGCTGAACATTCTGTCTTTTGTCAGCAGGCAGTGTAATTACCTGCTCCTGGGTTTTTTTTCGGGTAATAAATTAGGGCGATCTCAGCTGACTTATGCCATTATTGAACTGCAGAGCTGTTTTGAGATTTCTGAGCAGGAGACTCTGGTTCGGATATACAAATCGCTCCTCCTAGTCTATTTCATGACCAACAGGCAGGCTCTGCATGCCTGGGCACGTCTCTAGCATGTCCCACGCATTAATTGATAGATCTTAGAAAGCTGGCTTTCACATCTGACTCTTTCCTTCCTCCTTTCATCTTCTGTGCCCCCTCCTCTCGTGTGCTAGACACCATGGAAATTTGAGAGTGAAAGAAAATTCATTTGAGTGCTCGAGGGAAAGGCCTTTTAATCACGTTTACCGAGGAGACAAATTCTACCACGTTACTCCTCTGTCGAGTCCATAGGCCCCTCTACTGATAGAGTGGGGATGCTTGGCTTTGGGTAATGAGCTCTGACCTGCAGGAGTCATTTCCTGAGAATGCAGCACTTATTGATGCTTCACGGATGTAACAGGTTTGAAGGGAAAGAATATTTAGAGGGGAACCTTGATTCTTTCAGACTGTCGAGTGTCGATGTTTGGAGTGTCCGGCAGCCATAGTACTTGTGTTCATCTCTGCCATCCCATGAGCTGTGATGTCTTGGGGAGTTCTAAATTGGGTAAAGAGAGAGTGTTCACACAACAGACACGGGCAAACACCACAAATCAGAGCTCATTTCTCAGATAGGAAGTATAGTTAGTTGTTAAACCCGGACAGCACTGAGAGGCTCTCGCATGTAGGCAAACCTACAACAGACTCCAGTTATAGGATGAGGAAGCTGACAGGGAGAAGAAGATAGAATCACATTAACTGGCGAGATCACGCTGAGACGTAGAAGGAACAGCGCCCCTCATGGATTGGCTCGGATTGTACTATCTGTGTAGCTGTCAGCTGCACAGGGTACCAATTTGTTCCTAGAGGAACTCAGTACAAGAGGCCTCTGGTGCACAGGGCACGTCAGCATAGATATACATGTCTAGAGGGCACTGGACCAAGCGGCACTCACACCCTGTTCAGTTTCATTCTCAGTCTCTTATACCAGTCCTCTCCTCTCTCCCTCTTCCACTTCTAACCTTCCAAATGCCTCTAAGCTTCTGGCTCTAGACCACTGTCTGGAGGGTCATCCTGTGCTCCACAAGTACAGCTCTCTTTCCCAGTGCTCCTGTACAGTGCTCCTACCCTGTACTCCTGTATAGTGCTCTTTCCCAGTGCTCTTCCTCAGTGCTCCTGTACAGTGCTCTTCCTCAGTGCTCCTGTACAGTGCTCTTTCCCAGTGCTCCTGTACAGTGCTCTTTCCCAGTGCTCCTGTACAGTGCTCTTTCCCAGTGCTCCTGTACAGTGCTCTTCCTCAGTGCTCCTGTACAGTGCTCTTCCTCAGTGCTCCTGTACAGTGCTCTTCCTCAGTGCTCCTGTACAGTGCTCTTCCTCAGTGCTCCTGTACAGTGCTCTTTCCCAGTGCTCCTGTGTAGTGCTCCTTCCCAGTGCTCCTGTACAATGCAAGCTCCTTCATTGAGTGGCCCTGCTTTCAGTGGAGTGTAAGATTAGAGTGATGTGGCCATATGGCCACAGATGAGCCATTCAGAACAGTACCTACATTTTTAGAGAACTGGTTATTCTAGGCTAGCTCCCCCCGACTCCCACCCCTTCAGGGTCATGGTTGAGAAGATTCATCTGAGTTACAGCCTTTGCATTGTTCCTTTCTGTGTCTCCTGTCCCTCAGGGATTTTGGTCACAAGATCCTCCCAGCATAGCTGCTTGGGGAGTGTCTTATCTTCAGGAAGAACAGAAGGCTGTTTGAGGCCAGACTGTCCTCTGGCCAGATATGTATAAAGCACATATGTATAAAAGCCAAGCAGAAGACTAAGAATGGGAAGTGGTGGGGGATGCTGACTTCACATTTACTTAGAAGATATGAATTTAGCCACTTAGTTGGAATCTAACTTTGAACAAAGCACTGGCTTCTGTGAGCTTCAGTCATCTCATGTGTAAAATGGGGCCATTCCCTCTTACCTGGAGCAGTGTGGTCCCCAGGAACACTGGAGCAACATGACCTGGTCCAGTGGCTGGGAGGAAAGGCCCTGACTCAGAGAGGCGGTTTCAGCTTTGACACTACCTACATGTATGACCTTGTCAAGCCATTTCTTGTCTGTGGACATTAATTAACACTCATATAAGTACACTGAAAAAGTTGCTGCCTGAGATTCAGCTGTGGAAAGATGCCCGGGTGTGCCCTTATAAAGACTGGCAAAAACATTAGAACGTTTGCAACCTGCTAGGTGCCTACATTTCCTTTGTAGAACATAGGCCAGAGGTACAGATAATCAAACACATTTGACAGATATTTCTTCAGTCATCATTTAAACAATCATTTAGCTTCAATTATTATTAGCAACAATTTTTACCATTTATAATAACCATCATTGTATAGTTTATTATTTACATAATTTATACAGTCTCAAGTTTACCCTAAGCCACAAGTTTGTCTCATATATATATATATGTATATATTTTTAGCAGTTGAGGATTCTAACTTTTTTTGCAGAACAAATAAAGGAATCTGGGAAGATTTGGCTGTATCAAATATGACGAGTACTTGCTCAAATTTAGTGTTTAATTTTCAAATAGAAAGGATAGTTGAGAAGACTAAACAGATGCTGCCCTTTGCCTTAGAGAAGCTACCTGGCACCTTCCCTCACCGTGAGAGAAGTTCACATGCAGCAGGCAGTGAGGGGACTGATGTGACATTATACTGAGTTCCCACATGTGACTCCATTCCCCCCGTATATAAGATATATAAGACACAGAAGATAAAGACTGTGGGTGGTGGGAACTTTTTTTTTTTTTTTTTTTTTTTTTGGTTTTTCAAGACAGGGTTTCTCTGTGCAGCCCTGGCTGTCCTGGAACTCACTCTGTAGACCAGGCTGGCCTCGAACTCAGAAATCCGCCTGCCTCTGCCTCCCAAGTGCTGGGATTAAAGGCATGCGCCACCACCGCCCGGTGGGTGTCGTGAACTTACTGAAGTTGAAATCACTAATTTGCAGGCTTCACAGAAATAGACATGGAAAGGCACAGAGATAGCAGGACAGGTTCAGGGACTGGAAGAGACCATAGCCATGACTTTTGTCCACTTGAGAAACAGAGCAAAACCACTGGCCTCACATCTAATGCTGAGAGGGCACACACTGCCATTTCTAGCTTCCATCCAGTTGTTTGCCCCTTTTGTTCTCACTTGGTTTAGAGCTGCTGGGATGCCCAGCAGAGTCCTTCTCAGTGATCAGGGTGTCAGAGCACACTGTGCAGGGCAGGGCTCTCAGCAAAGAAATCTCTCCTCCCTTTTGGATTTTTGGTAGACTGAAGAGTTAGCCTGTCACAGATGAACATCCTGTACCCAGGAGTCGGTGAGAATGGGGTAAGTCTTTCCAAGAAGCCTTCACTCAGCCTCTCAGCAGTTCTGTGAGACTGTAGCTCCCTGTTGCAAGGCCTCATCACCCGGGCTGTCTGTTACCAGCTCCTCTTAGTACTGTCCTGAGCGGACTGTTTGAACTGTGTGTGCAGAAGGGTCCCTGTGCCAGCCAGGGAGGGCTGCTGTAGCACATGCACTGACTACAGCCATCGAAGAGCTGCTTGCCCTGTGGGACAGGGCACTGCTTACTGTGATGACAGCTGTATGGAACCTGAGGACAGTGATCTGATGCCTTGTGGTGTTGCACACACACTTCTTCCTCCATCTCCCTCTCTTTTTCCTTGTGAGGTAATCGAAATCGGTCTAGCCAGCTTGCAGCTTTGTAGTAACTCCTCTTTCACGCCCAACAGTCAGCAGGAGAGAAAAGCAAAGATCTATTTGCAAAAGGCTGCAGGAAGCAGACGTGTGTTCCTTCTGTCCATGGGTAGCTCCCCTCTCTTCTGGCATTTCCCTCTTCTGGGATTTCCTTTAGTAATGGCTGAGGAACGAGGAACAAGGGTCCTACAGATAGCCTAGTCTGACATGTGTTCTACTGTCTGGCAGAGAGGGAAATATATGTGTGTGTGTGTGTGTGTGTGTGTGTCTGTGTGTGTCTCTGTGTGTATTCTATGCAAATATATGCATATGTATATAGTCTATGCCCCACATGCATGCAGTGCCTGCAGAGGCCAGAAGATGGCACCTGATCTCCTGAAACTGGAGTTGCAGAAGTTGTGAACTTCCACATTGGCACTGGGAACTGAATCCAGGTCCTCTGGAGCACCAGTGCTCATAACTGCTGAGCCATCTTTCCACTCCACTCACACTCATTTCCTCATTCTTTATTAAATTGTTGAGAATTTCAGGTGGACTCACACACACACACACACACACACACACACACACACGCATATATGCATCATCTGAGAGGGCTGGAGAATCCCAGACGCCTGTCCTTATTCACGCCACTGGCTGTCCTGGCTCCGGTGCCTTTGTCTTTCAGGTTAAATGAACCTGGGCTTTACTTTTTCATGTCCTGATAAGTGTTTCTACCTCTTGAGTTCTCATCCTACCATGGCCTCGGAAAATGAATCTAGAGGTCACTTATCAGCACAATGCCCACACAGTGTCCCTCAGTCTTAGATAGTATGAATTCCCTCAGGCCATGCTAAATGCAGATTCTGGTTCAACAGGAAAGGGCCGAGTCCAGGGCTCTGAGAGATGTTGATGCTTCGAGTTCAGGGACATAGGCCATATCTTGGTAGCAAGGGTGACTGGTTCATGGTCCTTTTCAAGCCATAGCGTCCATAACTGTTTGTGTGGCACATGGTCAGGGAGCTCTGGCTTATGCCCCATATATCCCAGAGCTAAGGGAGTCAGTGTTTCAGCTCATTTTTAACTCCTTTGTGGCTTCTTGAAGCAGGCCCATTGAGAGGAGAAGAAAAGGTGTAAACCACACAGGTCCATCAAAGTCCCACAGAGCATGAAGGGTCCATGTTCTCCTGTTATTATTATAAGTGGCCTCATGGTGTCTGCCAGGAGTGCCCCTCTGTCCAAGCAGTGTGTTCTTTGGGTGTGGAGAGTGGAGGGGAAGAATAGGGCTTTCTTCCAGCTGTTAATCAGTTGTGAGTGTCTCTCACTGGTTATGGCGCTTTACATGCCTGACTGCTTTGCAGTGTGTACACGTATTTGTGTGATGTGTACCCACTATGCACAAGTACATGTGTTTATGCAGCCGGACTCAGCATCTCCTCTGAGATATTCACTCATTCTGCCAGGAGAATGGGAGTCAAACTGAGCAGGAGGCAACAGCCACCTGTTCTGGTCAGCACTAGCTCTCAGACAACCAGGCTTCTGTTTATCTGGTCATGTCCCCTCAGGGGCCTCTGAGCTTAGCTGACATTATCTTTGTCTGCCCTCATTTAGTCTATGAGACTCTTCAAAGATGTTTCAAGAAGGTATTCCCTTAAGATCAAAAGCAAAAGCCACTGTCTTCCCAGGAGAGAAATGGGCAGCCCTCTTTTTGACTCAAATACACGGCTTATTCTTCCCCATCCTGGAACACTGCCTACTTGTACCTCTTTGCCAACAAAGAGAGGCTGCTCCAATTGCCTCCCTAGAGCAGCAAAAGTCTGTTTCAACATCACCCTTCATAAACGGCCGTTGGTGTTACGGAAATGGTAACTAAATGTGCAGCTGTGTGTCTCCTGGGCTGCACTTGCCTACCTTCCCAGGCTCATCACTGGGTACCCCAGGCACCAAGCTCAGTCTGCCTGACTCAGCTCTCCTTACTCTCCAGGTCCATATTCAAGCCTTTCATCTTTGTTGATGATGTAAAACTTGTCCCCAAAGCACAGTCGCCCTGTTTTGGTGATGATGACCCAGCCAAAAAAGAACCTCGGTTCCAGGAGAAGCCAGACCGCCGGCATGAGCTGTATAAGGCACATGAGTGGGCACGTGCTGTCATCGAGAGTGACCAGGTGAGCCGGAAGGAGGTCGAGGGAGGATGGCATAGGTCAGTGAGAAAGGAGACAGGGAGGTTGCTGGCATATGCATATGCACCTCTCTCCTCTCTAGCCTTTCTTTCAGAAAGACACTGCAGATGTTAACTTTCCTACCACCCACCCTGAAACCAAAGAAAACGAAGCCTCTGCATTTACTGTTACTCTGAATCCAGAAGGCTGATGATCTCAAATTTCTTATCAGCTGTTGATCTTGGAGTGTCAGAGATGCGCAATCTAAAATCTTGGTGCACTTTTTTTTGGGGGGGTGGTGAAAAACTATATTGTGTGGAATTGGTCATATGCCATTTCTAAACAGTAACTGCCCCAAAGTGGTGTGAGCTTAGGGTATCATAGTATGCGTGTACAAAACAAGTCCACATTCAAGCGCGTTAAAAAGGTAGCTTCTATGCTATGAGTATTCATTCTATCATGATCCAACAACAAGATTTTCAAGTTCCAGGTTTTTGTTTTTTAAAATAACCCCACAGAATACAACTGTTGTGCCTGAAAATGTTTTGGTTAATAAGGTCAGGACACATCAATTCGATGAAGAAAAGTCCTTAGTGTTCCCTAGCACCCGGTAAATGCCTACAGGAGCCATTCGTGGTGAGTCTTCACAGAATGAGGCTGTCAGATACTCCCCTGCTTCACACCGTGTGTATCACAACTCTCCATAGTTCTAAGCTGTCCTGCAGGAAAGAGCTGTCTCCATAAAGTGGGTGTGCATGCTTCATTTTCATTATTAGATTTATATTTATCCCCACGTCTCTGTGTACATGGCTGCAGGTGCCCAAGGAAGTCAGAGGTGTCAGGCACGCCCCTGTTGCTGTAGTTATAGGCAGTTGTAAGAAGCTCAACATGAATGTTGGGATTTGAACTCAGGTCTTCTGCAAGAGCACTCTGCACTCCTAACTGCTGAGCCATCTCTCTGCCCCGATTTTCTTATATTTAGCATTGTGGTTATCTAAAAAGGATTTTAAAAGACAGTGACTTGGGCTGGGGGAATGGCTAAGTAGGCTCACTGGGCCAGCATGAGTTGAGATCCAAGCTGGGATCCTTAGCACCTACATAAAAGGCTGTTCATGGCTGTGCAAGCCTGCAGCCACGGCCACGGTGCTGTGGGATACGGAGAAAAGTGGATCATTTGGACTTCTTAGTCACCAGCCTAGCTCCAGTGAGAGGCCATGTTTGAGGTAATAAGGTGGAGCAGGACACCTGACATCCTCTTCTGGCCTCTGCTTGCATGCATATAACATGCATATAACATGCATATAACAGGCATATACCAGGCATATACCAGGCATATACCAGGCACATGTACAGGTATGTACATTTGTACATGTGCACCTGCACCATACACACATAAACCACACTGTTATAATTTGTTTTCTGTTGCTGAGGTAGATACCATGATCAAAAACAGCTTTTATTTGGCTTACATCTGGATTACAATCCACCATTGAGGGAAGCCATGGCAGAAGCTCACAGTAAGAGCTGGAAGGCAGGAAAGCTGAGATCGTGAAGGGATGCTGCTCGCTGGCTTGCTCCCCATGCTTGCTCCGCCTGGTTTTGTTTGTTTGTTTGTTTGTTTTAATATACTCCATGACCATTTGCCCAAGGATGCTGTGGACTTGTTCATAGGAAGCTGGACTTTCCAAAGTCAACTATTAATTGAGAGTATTCCCCCACAGACTTCCTGCCTTCCAGACTGACTGAGACATTTTCTCAACTGAAGTTCAGCCTTAAGATTTCATGTAAATGTCACAATAGAAAACACAGTATACTTTCACAAATCCTAAAGTCTTTAAAAAAATTTCAACACTTTAGCCAAATGTGGTGGTGCACACCTTTAATCCCAGCACTCAGGAGACAGAGACGAGGCAGATAGATCTCTGTGAGTTCAAGGCCAGCCTTATCTACTTAGCGAGTTCCAAGACAGCCGGGACTAGGATTAGAGAGACCCTGTCTCAGATTTTTTTCAATACTTTAAAAGTACATGTTCTCTTTTAAAAATCCCCCATTTCTTAACTTAGGGTCCTATAAAAATGAAGAATAAGTTATATCTTATATTTAAAAAAAATGAAGAACCAGGGTAGAGTTACAATCGAATCAAAGCAAAATTGACATCCAGCAGTGTCAATCAAACTTGGTGTGGCGTCTGGAACTCAACAATTTTATGAACTTCAAAGAGATTGGACAACTCTGTTTCACAGGCTCTGCCATCTTTAACACACCCAGCCTGTCACAGGCTCAAACCAACTCTGTTCTGCATCTGCTACTGTCGTTAGTGGCCATACACTGGTCCTAGTGTCTCCCATATGTTTCCCACTGAAACTGAGGTTGAATCTGCACCAATGGCCTCTCACAGTACCAAGCCCCGGCCACTCTCCAGGACCCCTTCGGTCCTGCGGCTCCCACGCTATTCAGCATCACATGGGAGACTCAGATATTACCAGCTTGAGATGCAGCCTTGACTGCCTGTAAGCCACCGTCATAGAACAAGCTTGGCTAGGAGACACACATGGCATTTATTTACGAATTGAGCCATTTACCCCTTCAATGTCTATCTTTCTGAGAATGCCAGTTGTGCCCCAGTCATTGGAAGGTAGACACAAGCCTAGCTCTTCCTCTCCAGGAGGTCATGGTGCCATGGGAAACACAGCCATGTTGAGGAGTTATAACAGCACAGATGGTGGTGATGATGGCTGGGAGAAACTATTGCCTTCTGGAGGAAAGCTCTGAAGATGGGCACAGGTTGATAAAGTGTTGATGGAGGGAAGAGCCTCCAGGGGACAGAGTCACCTGAGCACTGGGGAGAGAATATCATGGAGTATAGCCATGCATATGGCTGAAGGGGATGGATACACCAGGCAAGAGGCCAGTGCATCCTGACTAAGACTCAGTAGTCAAGATTTATTCTGAAGTTGGATAGCTGGCGGCCGTGAAAGTGTTCTGAGCAGGCTGGTGATGTAACCATATTCTAAAGCAGCACCCATGGTGGTGGTGGTTTGGGTCAGTCGAGGGGGTGAGGGGAGGCGACCCTAGGCTGTCAGTGTCCACTGCCATGACGTGTGCTGTTCTGCATGGCTGTGTCCTTTCCTCAGGAGCAAGGCCGCACACTGAGGAAGACCATGCTGGAGTTGGAGAAACAAGGCTTGGAGGCCATGGAAGAGATTCTGAGCAGCCCTGAGCCCCCGGACCCCGCTGAGGTGGGAGACCTTTTCTATGACTGTGTGGACACAGAGATGAAATTCTTTAAGTGATGTAAGCACCCTCACCCTTACTTAAAACTTCCCACCCGACTAAATTACCAGCGGATAAACACTCTTCTGTTTGAGTAAAACGAGAGTTACCATGTGGCCTCCTTGTGTCTAAATGTCCCCTCTGTGCAGCTTAGCAACCCTCCCCTTTGCTATGTAACGCGATCCCACTTGCCTCTTGAGCCACTCTGTAGTAAGCTATGGGCTTGAAGATGTTCTTGTATTTCAGTGACAATGGACACCTTAGCTTTTTATGCAGAGCTAGAGTTCCCTCCGCCTTGGACAGGGCTGCGAGGCCACGCTGGTGGGAAAGACAAGAGCTGTGAAGGACCCGGTCCCTCTCTAGACAGTGGTTTCTTTAAGGTGAACAAAAGGCTTCTGTTCACACCAAAGACTCCTGTGTGTGTAGATGGGGGAGAGCCCACCCCCAGCTTCCCTCCACAGAGCACAGGCCTGTGTGTAGCTCATAGTCTCCACAAGTATGTCCTGGGAAACAAAGCCAATGGAAGGAGCAGAGGACTCATGGGTACAGTCCTGACTCTGCTCCAGCGTACGCAATTTCTGAAAGACTTTTCTTCTGTGAGCTGTGCTCATGTGCAGTGGACCAGACCTGCTTCCACCTGCAAGGGGAGCTGAGTATCCATGCTACCCTCACCCCCTCATCCAGCATTGCATCCACCTGACGACCTGGCCCTGTGTAGAAATTGATTGTCAGCAGCTTGTATGAAATTCATTAAATGCCCCTGGCAGAGCAGACACATGCAGCTGCAAATCTTAGCCAATGAGAGAAAGGAAAGGGTCGCTCTCTACCGAGAGCATAGCTAATGTACCCGGGATCTGAGCAGCCACGGTCTCAGCAGAGCCTGAAATGAAGCTCATCTGTTTCCAGCGTCAGTATGTTTGCACAAAGGATTCGATGCCACAGGAGTGTGTGAGGAAGACAGGGCGGGCTGAGGGCAGAAGGCCGTGAGACATTTATCCACAGAACAGTCAGCCTCACCCCATCCACTGCCTAGTTAACTAGATCCCACCAATCAGCGTGCTGGGCACTTGACCTCCAGGATCTCCTCCCTTCATTCTCACCCCCCACTGCCCAAAAGATGCCTTTGGACAATGTCTAGAATGGGTGAGAGGTATAGATGCCTATCCACTGACACTCTCCACGACCGAACAGGCCAAGGGTGTAAAGATGACTGACAGAAGTGTAGACCAGAGGAGTGGCTAGTGAGCACGTGTTGCAGGGCCTGATTATAGGTTGTCATTCTTGACAGGGCTGAGCAAACAGAGACGGTCCATCAGTGATGTCAGGCAGGGCTTAGGGATGGCAGGGACCCGTGCCCTCATTTCACAATGTGATGCAGGCTACAGGTTTTATTGGGACAAATCTTGTTTCTCTTCCAACCCTCATTTGAGAGGGGAGGGAGGGAGGGAGGGAGGGAGAGAGAGAGAATGTTCACTGTGAGCCCTTTTTGACAGTTTAGTGGATTCCATATATAAACAAATGGCAAAGCATGAGAGATAGGACAAATTCATGATAACCCGGCATCTCTTGCTGATGGACAGAAGGTCACAGGTAGAGCCGCTAAGCTGAAAGTGCCCGGCAGGTGCAAAGGGGAAAAAGGGTGAGGTTTGAGGAAGAAGCAGGTGCCTGTCCAACCTCACCTGCTGAGCTATTTAAGGAAGGCTGTCCTGTGGTTTCCCCCTGTGGTCTTCCCTCCGCCTCTGAGGCCAGCTCATCAGATCTGACCTGCCTGAGACAAACCAAGTGATTTGGGGTTTGATCAGAAGTCTAGCGATAGCAAACGACGCAGCCACCTTCTCTCATGACCTCCGCCAAGGTCGAAGATGGCTGTGACAACTTGATGTCATTACTCAGATGTGCACTGGGAAACACGGTGGCTGTTTTTATGATTGACTGTAGTCCAGCATCACGGAGAAAGGCCAATCCCCTTCGAAGCATTGTACAGCTCAACCATGTTGTAATCTGACCACCAGAGGGCGCAGCAGCCCTCTATGGCTAACCCGGCAGCTGTTAAAGGGCCTAGATTTTCTCTTGAGATATGAAAGCTTTGCTTACTGGGATGGGTGGGAACAGACAAGAGGAGAGTAGGGAATCTGCCGAGGTGCCTGCACGTACTTTAGTGAGTTTATCAAAATTAACAACAGAAACAATACTGGATTTTGAGTAAGCAGACGTAGGAGAATATTTGTTTTAAATTGAATCTAACAGATTTCTCTTTGAAGAAACACTTCTTATGAGGGTAATTTCTCGGTGAGGGGTCACTCTTACGAACAGCATGGAGAAAACAGATATTCAGGAATATCTAAGATCGCTCTGTAAATACCTTCCCAGAAGACCTTCCTATATCTTTTAAGCCTGAGCATGGGGTATTCTGAGCCCACTTTGGGCAGAAATAAGACATGGTTATGAAGGACAGACTGCCTCCCCACCTGCCCCATAGGACGTCACCTAAGCTAGCTAGTGTTGTGTAGATGAGATTTGCAGTAAACGAAAACAGCAGCCTAGCTGGGGGGCGGACACTTGAGTGGACATGAGGTAGTAAATCGGAAATAGTCTTTTATCATTCTTGGGGTGTCTGAAAGCTAGATAAGCATCTGATAAACGCTGTAGAGACTTAGCCCAACACAAGCTCCAGTGTTTGTAGGAGTTGGCCTGACAAGCTGACGAAGCAGGAGTACACCTGGTAGAGCTCAGTGAGGACGCTCCGTTACTCTCTGGTGAATCAGTAGCTGTGAAAACAATCGTCACCACAAAAATATTGCCACCTCACAGGTGACACCACTCTGGAGGGGCCTCAGGGCAGCCAGGGGTACATGTCTTGAAATTATTGACTGCATTCTTGTATTGCAACCATCTTCATCTGAGAGCTCAGCCTGAGAGAAAACAAACCATGGAGAGAGAGATGTGGCAGGTGTGGGGCGAGCATCCTGGTTCTCCTGTGCCTTCCGCAGCCATGGCGTTTCATTCCACATGGCGCTGAGCCCCAACTCCTGTCCTGTGGTGTGTGTCAAATGTGTTTTATTGGACTGAAGCCAACCATCCTGAACTACCATGCAGAGAATTCTTGCAGGAATCAATAAGTACATGTCTCTAATCGTGTTGTGAGAACTGAAACACCATAGCTGGAGCAGTGTAACAGAAAACCTTTGTTTCCTGTGTGTGTGTGTGTGTGGCAGAACTGACCATGTGGTCTTAATAGCCTTTTGTACAAATATCTACAAATCAAACGATGTCTCTATCCAGTGCTTGCCCTCGGAGTGTCTTTAAATGCACCAAGTGTACAATAAAAACATGGAAGTCAATACCTATGAGCCTCTTCCTGTATGTGCTTCACGAACACAGCCAGCTCCAGTCACAACACACACGTGTGAGGGACTGTGCCTTTCAACTGGAATCTTTAGAAAAACCCAATCACTTCATTAGGGCTTACACTATGCATCTCTACGAAGGCAAACTCACTGTCTAAAAATGAACCCCAGCTGGGTGTGGTGGAGTACCCTTCTAATCCCAGTACTTGGGAGACAGACAAGCAGGTGGATCTCTGAGTTCAAGGGTAGCCTGGTCTACAACAAGAATATCACTCATCTCCAAATTTTTAACCCAGAATGGCTCTTGTCTAAAGGGAATACGGGGACAAAGTGTGGAGCAGAGACTGAAAGAAAGGTCATCCAGAGACTGCTGCACCTGGAGATCCATTCATATGCAGGCACCAAACCCAGACACTATTGTGGATACCAAGAAGTCCTTGCTGACAGGAGCTTGATATAGCTGTCTCCTGAGAGCAGAGCTTGACAAAACAGAGGCAGATGCTCACAGCTAACCACTGGACTGAGCACAGGGTCCCCAATGGAGGAGTTAGAGAAAGAACTGAAGGAACTGAAGGGGTTTGTAACCCCATAGTAAGAACAACAATATCAACCAACCAGACCCCCCAGAGCTCCCAGGGACTAAACCAGCAACCAAAGAGTATACATGGAGGGACCTATGGCTCCAACCACATATGTAGCAGAGGATGGCCTTGTCGGGCATCAATGGGAGAAGAAGCCCCTTGGTCCTGTGAAAGCTTGATTCTCTGGTGTAGGGGAATGCCAGAGCAGTGAGGTGGGAGTGGGTGGGTGGAAGGGGGAGCAGCCTCAAAGAAGCAGGGGGAGGGAGGATGGAATAGGAGAGTTCTGGACGGGAAATTGGGAAAGAGGATAACATTTGAAATGTACATACATAAAATATCCAATAAAGAAAAAGAATCCCAAGACAACCAGGGCTACACAGAGAAACCCTGTCTACAGCAACAATGACAACACCCCAAACTATAACCATATGCCACTCAGCTCTGTCAGAACAGCAGCTGTAAGAACAGCAGCTGCAATGTGGGGGGCTGGAAACACCACACACTGCTGGCAGAAATGAACATGGTTGTCCATTGTAAACTATGGATATTTTTTTCATAAACTGCCATATGACCCAGGAATTCTATCACCTAGTACGTACCAAAGGAATTGAAATCCAGGCCTGGAAAGATGCCTGTTCAGTCAGCTTCCTAGCTTATTTGATTACTTACCTATAGATAAATGGATGGATGGATATATAATATATATATCTAGACAATGGAGTGCTATTCACCCTAAAAAGAAGGAAATTCTGATACATACAATACGTATGAGCATTCTGAATATTATATTGGACAAAGTGAATGTCATAAAAAAAACACATACATGTTTACATGAAATATTTAGAGGGGTCACATAAGCATCCTGTTTGCTTTCCAGGGCATGCCTTGTGCTTTTACTTAGCCCTTGGACTCAAGTGTCTTCATCACTTTATATCCTAGCTATGCGTTTACCCCCTGATTTGGCTGATGAAGAAACTGAGACACACCTAAGTAATGTAATCCTCCCAAATTCAAAAGACTCACATCCTGCTTTGCCTTTCAACTCTGGTCTCAGCCAGCTGCCCAGAGATGAACTTCATCTCCCTTTTCCAGACTTCTGTGTCCACTTGAAACACGGCTGTGGAGGGGAGAGGTGCCTGCTTGACAGAGGAGCCTCTTTCAAAGGACTTGCTGAGTTGCAGGGGAGAGACTAAGGGTTTTAGGTTGGTGCTTTCCTTGGTGGTGGCTTTTCCTTGTATATATCTTGTCTATATACATAAGGCCCTGTATTCAATCCATAGGACTGCAAAATAAAAAGCTAAAAAATAAACTTTTCTCATTTTAACACATTGGCAGAATTTACAAGCAACATTCTTGACCCATACTATAGTAATAATATTGGTAAGTATGTTGTTTTCTATTTTTAAAATACATATGGAAGGCACCCCCCCCCAACCCCGGCATTTTTGGTGTTCCAGGGGCTAGAGGGATGGCACAGTGATCACTTTTTAATGCTTTGGGGACAAGTTTCATATCATCAACAAAGATGGGAGACTTGTACCTGGAGAGGAAGGGTTGCTGAGGGAGGCAGACTGAGCTTGGTGCCTGGGGTACCCAGTGATGAGCCTGGGAAGGCAGGCAAGTGCAGCCCAGGAGACACACAGCTGCATGGCTTAGTTCCAGCCATTACAAAGACTGATGTCAAAACAGAATCTTCATGTTCTGGGATAGTCCCTTTTTGTGGCAAAGAGAGGCATGTAGACACAGTGCTCTGGGACAGGGCAGGATAGGACCAGAGGACTCACATTCAGTTCCCAATACAGGTGGTTGGGGAAGCTCACACTCACCTGTCACTCTAGCTCCAGAGGATCTGACACCCTCGTCCAGCCTTTATAGACACCTGCACACGTGGCCTATACACATATACTCAGACACTTAAACAAAAGTAGATATATACATTCCGGGTGTTCCAGAAATCACCGTCCTACGCTTAAGCCCTCCTGATCCTTAAAAATGTGTTTTAGCACTTAAGTCTGACTGTTACGCATTGCATCCCCACACCACAGCCTCCCACCATATCCCAGAAACGTGTGTATTCATCACATGTCAATCAAAAAGGCTTAGATCAGCACTTGGGATCAAAGATGAGCTTCCACAGGGAAACAACCACACACACTTGTAGGAGGAGCTAAGGTGGGAGGAGCAAGGGGAGGAAGAAGAGGAGCTAGGAGAGGAAGAGGAGGAGCTAGAGAGGGCAGAGATGTAGGAGGATCGAGAACCACACAGGTATGGAGAGCACTCGTGGGGAACAACTTAGCAACTTATAATTAAGTTAGCTAATTGGGATACAACTCGCTTAGTATGGGCATCTTGTTATTAATCATTATCAAACATATAAAGCCTTTGATTAATCTATAAGAATTAAAGTCTCATTCCCTTACTAGGCCCGCATGGATGGCGGAATGGTCTGGGCAATGCCCTGCCTTGCGGAGACAGTGTGGAAGATTGGCAGAGCCATCTCTCACGCTGGCATCTAGTGGGTGACAGGGCTGGTGTTTCTGGCTGGCCGGTTCTAGCTGCAGTGCACGCGTGGTCTCAGGCCGAGAAACATGGCGGCTGGGCTAGGCAGAGCCGCTGCAGCTTAGATAGTCAGATTAACAAGTGGCCAGTTTTAACTAATTACCACAACACACACTCTCACTTGATAAAGTTTATTAGGTACAAAGGAATGAATCTGTAGCAGGGGACACCAATAAATATAAAATACAGGGGAGACATCGGAGGGGTCACAGTCTACAGTGTGAGGGTAGGCAAGGATAGCAGGGACGCCTCCACTTGTGAGTTCACGATCAAGGGCCTAACCTGTCCTCTGCCACTGGGAACTGAATGTACCCGCTTGGACTTGGAGGGGTAGGGCTCCGTGACAGGTCTTGAGAGCTGCTAGGCCAGATCCCTGAGATTGCTCCTTGCTTGATATTTTTGGTTTCTGCTTGTTCCTTCCTTCTCTCCTTAAATAGCTTTGTAAAAAATATTTATGTGTTATATATACGTGTGTGTGTATGTGTGTGTGTGTGTGCACAAGGGCACATGTGTGCATGTGCATGTGGAGACCCAAAGGCCATCCATAGCTATCTTTTTTGGTCTATCTCTACATTATTATTAGTTTCTTACTAACCCTGCAGCTCGCAGCTCGCTAATCTTGCTAGGTTGGCTGGCTGCTGACCTTCCTGGGATCAGCTGCCTCTATCCAACTTCCAGGATTACAGACATGCACCCCCATGCCTGGCTTTTATGTAGGTCCTGGGGATATGAACCCAGGTCTTCATGCTTGGGCAGCAGGACATCTACTGACAGAGACATCTCCCAACGCTTGAACAGTGTAAATTCCTGTGCCAGCAGTGAGGAACATGGTGCTCTACAGTGCACATGAATTGTTCATATAGTATGTGAACAACTCACTGGGCAAACAGATGACTTCCAAGGCTGCCTTCCTGATGGCCTCATTGCCGTTATTAAAGCTTTTTAATGATTATTACTTTGCATGGCTGGGAGAAGAGTAGGGTGGATCCTGACCTTTCTGCACACTTCCGGAACCAACGCAACAAATCGGTGACATGGAACCTTCGTGTCTGTTGATGTGGCTGTTACAGTGGCTTGAGTCGTTGACCAGAGATTTCAGAAACTTGACCCGGACTCGGTTTCTCATATCTGGAGGCATAACACTAATGTCGGATATTTGCTCCAAATGACAGTCGGGTGTCTGCAGACACACGGCCGAACACTCTCCTTATCCATTGTCCCTGGATGGCCTAGCCTGGGCTAATGTTCTTGTGGGGTGAGTGCCTGAGTGGGAAGCTCAGTGCCCTTCTCCTTTGCAGCTATCCTAAGCACAGTGAGGGATCGGATTGTTTGCTACCATTTTCCTCTCCTCTGCTACAGCCTCCCCTCTCCAGTGGTTGGGAGCATTTGGGGCCTGACAAGAAACAAAAGCATACTTCACTCCCTGGAGAATCAAAGAAGGGTGCAAAGAGCTGCCCCAGCCTAGTGCGGCCCTCTGTCTATTCAGGGCAGCTGATCTTGCTGCATTTATCTGCCAGGCACCCCAGGCACACACCACCAGGCAAGAGAGTCATCTGTGCTCTTCAGCTCAGAGGGAAGGTCCTTTGGGCTGATGGGCGTTCTCAGATTCCTACCAAAGGGGCCAGCTATTTGAGATATACTCCACGAGCTGCTTTGCTCTTTCGTATGTGTTTGTATATGGCTGCATACGTTCCCGTGTGGAATGTGTGTGTGCACACATGTAATGCATGAGCCTGTAAGAGGCCAGGGGTCAACTTTGGGTATTGTGGCCTCAGGAGTTGCCACATTGTATTTTGAGACTTTCTGGAACCTAGAGCTCCCTGATTAGCTCAGCTGGCCAGCGAGTCACAGGGCTCTTCCTGTCTCCGCTTCCCCAGCCATGGAATAACAAGTGTTATCCAGTGTTTTTCTTGTATACCCTTAGGCTTATGGAGCAGGCGTGTTCCCAGTGGATCGATTGCTTCAGTCTCCTTTTGTTCTTCTTCTTTTTTAATATATGCTGTATTTTCCACATAAATCTTACACTCCGAGTAGAGTTTGGGGAGGGAGACTTCTGAGGTAAAAATCAACTCGTCATAATCATGAGCTATATACATTTGCAGTCTATAGGGTGGGAGGGCACCAAAATCTCCTAAAGCTGACTTTACCCTGGCTACCAGCATGGAGCTGGGAACATGGAGGGGCAGAAGGAAAGTGGGGACTGGGCACTAGGGATGCTGTAAACAGTGAGAGCATTGGCTACCTGTAAAAGAATTCAGTTACAAAAGGGGCCCTGCGGAAGGCGTGGGAGGGGCCACGCCCACTCTAGCCTTTGCATTGGGAATATATATACATTAGGCAGCAAAATGACATTCCCTGTACTGCTAAAAAGAAGCGAGACCTGGCATCTCGCTCACTGGAAGCTGTGTGACAACACCAGGACCCGGGGACACACTGCTTCCTCTGAGCTGCGTGGTTTATAAGGCATTATTTGGTTTGATTTTGCAGTTGGTGTGATGAGAGTCATGCCAATAAAAAGCTGTCGTGGAGAGTGTTATGAGTTTCGGACTACTTGAAAACTAAGGATGCTCTGGAAAAGGTTTCAGAAGGACCAGCCTGCAAGCATGTGTTATAGCCACAGTGAACACTACAGGGCGGGATAGGGTGCCATCTGTACAAGACAGACAAATGCCAGGATGCGTATTTTAAAAATATTAAAATATTACTCAAATAAAAGTTGACTAAAATGATGCTGTAGGGTTCGTGCAAATCATTATATACAATAAATAAATGCTCAGTTCGGAGCCTGCATGTCAAATGCGTAGAGCTTGAGTACAACAGAGTCTCGAGGAGTTGTCTCAGTGTCCAGCCAATCCAGAACCCCAGGACCTTGGCTTCACCATCGTCTCACCGGAGTGCCTTTAGAGATAACTGCAGAAACATGACAGAGTATTACTGCAAAAACATTCTCATGAAGACGCATTGTCTACAGAAGATCCCATGGCTGAGATCTATTTTCCTTGTCGGCAAGATGACCCCATCATATACAAGGAGCTGGATTTTGTTTCCTGCTTTTCCCCCCTGCAGAGATTGAGAGTGGGAAGAGGTAAAGGGGACTTGAGGTTGATGGTACGTGAAGACCTGATACAGTCTTATAACATTTACAGAAGCAAGCATATGCAATTCACTTGGCACAGGGTTCAGGCAAAGCAAACAGTGTGTTGGAGAAGCCATATGAAGGCAATAGAAAGGAAGGAAGAGAACCAAGGTCCTCAGGGTTCCAGCCCTGGGCCAGTGTGCCCACATCCATACCACTCCCTGGCTCTGCCTACTGTCTCGAGCCCAGTGGTTCTCCTGTGCCCTGCTTGGTGTCCTCACGTAGTGCGAACCAATTAAGATGATTCTCAATGAGACATAAAATACCTTGACTTTGGGATGCCTAAATGACAACATTACAACCTTTCCTGGACTGAACTGGGGTCTTCTTTACAGACATCATGGCCAACTCATGGCTGGGAGCCCTGAGCTAGAAGCCTGAAGATGTAGGTCCAGAGAGATGAAAACCATCCTCACGGGATGATTTCTGCTTGTCCTGGGGCTGGGGATACGTCCTGATCGATGGTGGCACAGCCTTGCTGCAGGAATGGGGAGGATGAGCCTTGCTGCTCGGGATCCTAGTGGATTAAAGAAGCAATGGGAACACCAGACAGAAGTCGGAAAGTCACCCTGGGTAACTCCCTGAGCTTCTGCCACAAGGTCTCCTTTGCGGAAACAGATGAGCTTCTCTCTTCAGCTCAATCATCTGGTTACTGTGAAGGTTCAAATGAGAGAACCCATACAAGGTAACAGAAAAACAGGAAAGCTTTGTAAATGTAGGCACTAGGATTGTGGTGATTCTTTTGGTTTTCTGATCATAAAATATTATCTATTCATTCCAGAAAACATAGGACTGGAGAGATGGCTCAGAGGTTAAGAGCCCCGACTACTCTTCCAGAGGACCCAGACTCAGTTCACAACACCTACACAGCAGCTCACAACCATAACTGTATCTATAACTCCAGTTCCAGGGCATCTGGCACCCTCTCTGGCTTCTATGGGCCCTGCACGCATGTGGCACACAGACACAATGTGTAGGAAAAAACACCCGTACACATAAAATAAAAATAAATTTAAAACATTCATTTTAGAAAAAGAAACCAAAGAAACAACAAACCATAGAAACCCCAGAGACTCACTATGAAAAAAGTAAAAAATCAGTGATAATTTTCTAGAGTCAAAAGTCTAAACAGGGCCATTATTTGGTTTTACATGTCAAAGGAAAGTGACTCAGGGAGGGACCAGAGTCCTGAGACTGGAGGCAGCTGGCAGGTCTAAAGCTCACCGGGAAGTGTGGAGTTTCTCTCTCACCTTTGAAGGGCAGTCTTGCCAGGTACAGTGGTCTTGGTTTGCACTTTTTCTTTCTTCTGCATGCGGTATACATCCCTGACTCACCTCCTTACTAGAAGACAGCAACTAGGCCCCCTGAGGACCCTGTGCATGTGACAAGATTCCTGTCCTTCCAGCAGTGCTCACAGAGGCTTTGGGGAGGAGGGGAGGAGTCTCTCTCAGCTCATCTTCCTCCAATTTACTAAATTTTTAGGTCCTTCCATTCAAGATTCTCATCCTACTTGAGTTTTTATTTATTATTTCCTTGAATTGCCTTTCCACTCCTTTCTCTCCCTCTCCCTCTCCCTCTCCCTCTCCCTCTCCCT